CCTTTGCTATTTAGATACTGACAGCTACTGCAGTAACTTAGCACACTAAATTACAACGTATTTCAAAAGTTCCTTTTGACAGGTAAGTCTAATATGGTCAAGATTATTTTATCAGGTTCAACTTACAGGCCTCAGGCTAATGCTTTCTTAGACAACATGGCAGATGCCTACCAGGCAGCTAACACCAAAACCACAAGCAAATGCAAAGTTTGAGGCTTCGCTAGATTAGCTCTCAAAACATTATGGCTGTAAGAAACCTGCATTCTGGTTCTTGAGATGTTACACAATGATTTGAGTACAAAAGCGCTATGAAAAAATACCTTCTTTAGGGCAAAAAAGCTTGGAAAACATTTTCAGGTTCATATATTAGAGGTGGTGGTAATCTCTTAAAATCATTTGGTCTAATTAGGAGAAGAACTTTAACTCCAAATTGACAGTGATTTACAGAAAAGTGAAATTGCCAGATAACTCCCTGTACCACCTTTATTCAAAAGGATAAATAACTGCCTCTAACTATGCCCAGTCACAGTGCTCTATCAACATTTATTTTCCGCCTCCCCTCAAAAAAATCTAGGCAGATTCCCACACAGTAGGAAAAATTAAAGTACATTTCAAGTTATTACTCCAAAAAGGTTTTCCAAAAGCATTAGAAAAGTTGACATAATTCCCAGCTACGTATCCAGGCACCTGCTACCATTAAATCTCCATTACCCTATCTTAGAGCATCACCCAGAAAACCATCTTATGCCAGCTCAGCTAAGTGCTCACACAAACTTCATTCTCTCAACAGCTTTCATCCTAAACGGCTCAGAATTTTTCAGGTAACCCCGACATCAATATTAACACTTCTACTTGCATCCCTCAAGTAACAAGTCATCATTAAATGCAGTGGTCGAACATGAGCTTTAGGCATGCCGTTCTCCCTTTGAAATGCAGAACTTGAAATCATGAAGTACTCTGGCAATGCTGAAAGCTCTGGAACGTTGTAACAAAGACAGAAACAATAATAAACTTCACCTGGGCATATTATACCATGCGCACTGCAAGCAATTGCCAGTTATTTAATACTAATGGTATTATGTCCTAGGTCTTCAAGAAATAATTCAGTCCAACAGTGTGTTTAAAAATCCACACTGAATTAAGACAAAGCAGTAGGACCCACCTGCAGCATGCTGACGCTCAACACAGATTTAGCAAAGGAGCACGGATCTTCCAGACTGTAACTGCACCACAGCACAGAGGTGCTCAAGCTACGCTGGGTTCTAGAAGTGGCTTAGCTAAAGCAGCACTTCCTGATAGCCTACATTATTCTGTACAACGTAATGCAGCCATGTCCATATTCTTTCAGGACAGCCAAGAACTGTGGGAGCAACAGAACTCTTAGTGAAGCAGAGCGCCCCACAAGAGAACATGCCGCGGGGATGACCAAGGATGCCACTGTTAGTGATCTGCTACCCTGGTACCTCCCAAGCTAAGTGCCACTGCTTTCCTAATCCACAAATTAGGATGACAACAGGAGCCACGGGCGCAATACTTTGTAGCAAGGTTTGCTAAGGGATCAGAGTGAATATCATCATCACATAAATACAATTTCCTTTTCTCAAACAGAAATGCACCTGCCAATAAAAAAAAGAAAAAAGGGTAGCGCATTTTTAGCTAGTTTCAAAAGGGATGTGCGATTCCACACATGCAACCACTAGTTAAATGCAGAGGCTCACGCATAAAGTATCCAAGCTTTAACTTCTCTTGGTCTAAACCCTCAAATGCTACTAGATTAAGTAGTTTTTAAATCAGCATTTGTACATTTTTGTCAACATTGAAGAAAACGACAAATAATGCTGCCCAAAGCCTCATTTCCAGCAGCACAACATTTCCCTTAAAGGATCTGCAACAAGTACCACATGGAAACCAAAGGACTCAAACCCCTGAAGCAGCACCATTCGGGCTTTCAGGATGTAAATTGCAGTGATCCACACACAGCTGCTAGATTACACATACTGCCTAAATCATCACTCATTTTAAAGAAACCTGATTTTTTAAAACCTATTTTCACTCTGTCACAATGATAGGGTATTGACAGCAACATTTTGGCATCCCTTTGCTTTTTAGGACATGTTTTTACTGCCTATTCTCATCATCTGTTTATTTTTGGCTTCATTTTTTTTTCTAAATACTGAAGCTGCCCTATCAGTTTCACAGGCTTATAAATGTTATACATCAAAAATTAGTTTCACTTATTAAGACAGGAAACGGCTTTAAGAACTCTGGGATCTGTGCCTCAAAGCAAAAGCTTTATCAGCAGGTTCCAGTCACTGCTTCTTGCAAAAGAAAATGGTGCCGATTAAAACCCCAAACACCTGATTTCAAAAAGAACACCTACCCCCCGGTTTTCATGTGGCTGCAAGGGGGGCTGAGCCCCAAACAGAAGGCAGCTGTTTCTCATATGCTCCCTGCCCCCAACTCTGCTCAAGAAAAATGTAAAGCTATACGTAGAAAGATAAAGCTGAGATAAAAGAACACTAATTCATCCACCTATTTCTCTTGACTTCACAAGGGGCATCCTTCCATCGTCATGGTATAGTTCCGGGCCTGACTCCCTCGCAGTGCTGTGCTGCACTTGGAAACTGGAGTGATGCAAATAGCCACACACCTTAAAAACTAACTCATTTGTAAGAAGAATTATGCAAAACGAGTTTTAAAAGGCATGTTTCTTTAAACTGCAAAGAGAAGGAAAGTAGCAATTGAATCAATATTCAGTATTTTATTAACTGTACTCATATACAAAACATGCATTCTTTTAATCAAGCTCTTCCAAAAACCAAATCCTTTTCTGAAAGTTCTTTGCTGAATCAGAAATAGTCACTGTTAGAATGATTTCCTTAGAACTAAAAGCATTTTTAAAAAGATCCATTGAAAAACTACAGCTTAAAACCACAAAGAAAAATTGGGTACTGCAGCACATCTTTACAACAGTAGAGAACCCTGGTGAATTCACACAGATTTTGCCTCAACAGAACTCCTCATGAGATCAAGCCAGTCATCTGAGTTTTCCTTCTTTCAACACACTATTTATTCAGATAAACCCACTTAACCAAAACCAAGTCAAGGCTGTGAATGCTAATAGGTTTCAAGCATTTTGTTTTCAGAATTACAACATGCTAATATTTGAAAGTCAACAATTTGGAGCTGATGTTCCACAAATAATAATACACTGCTGTAGCACCTGGGATACGCTAGACCCTGCACAATCCCATGGCTACCAAAATCAGATAACAGTTTATCATAAATATTACAAACCCATAAAACTTCTTACATTAATTTGTTTTTATAGTCAAACAATTCACACCAGAACCTCAGTATGTTTTATTGATTATGATAGTCTAAGCACTTTAGGATAGATGGGATAATGACATTTGTGAAGGAGAACAGCGAGTGATTTTCACGTTGTACACATGAAAGCTGGTGGATCGGTGTCACAGCAATGAGCTTGTCAGACTTAAAGGGAACATTAGGACACATTCCTGTCACTGTCAATAGCCCTTATCTTCATGGATTGAAGTTTCATGATCGCTGGTGAAAAGGCAGATCAGAGTCCAGTCATTAGGAACTGCCCTGAGTGACTAAATGGAGCTTAATGACGGTGTAAGGAAACTGAGGAACAGTCAGTATTACCTCATCTTTATTTACAGAACCTTAAGAACTGGCTTTCCCATTTCAAAAGGCATCTGTTTTAAAAGGCAGCACAGTACTGCATGGTATTGCATTAAACACTTAAATCTGTCATTTTACATTAAAGCTTAGCTTTAAGTAACGTTCTTCAGAACATTTTAAGGATGAGAATGAGCAGTATGGGCAATATATCTGTTTTAATGATTTTCTAATATCTTTGAATGTTGCTAGTATATACAGTGGACAGAAAACTTCCATTCAGTCTGTGAAGTCAAGGCGTGCAAGGTAGATGAATGAAAGCAAAAATTATATAATTTATAATATAAATCTAGAATACTTATGGTGTAAATTATATAAATCAGATGACTTAAAAATTATAGCTTCTCCACTCAAACAGAACTTTATTTTTTAATTCTTTCGCTTCAAAACTACTCCAACTGTATTTTTATCGTAGTTTGCTTTCTTTGCCTTTTTTCCCCTGCTCACAAAAAGCAGTGGGCACAATAGCCTTCATGGATTTCAATTATATACTTCAGCTGCTACCACCTACCATATATGCACCAATTTAGCTATTTTTTCTATGCAACAGAAATTACCAGAGATATCTGGCAGAATCCTCACCAGTTTAAGAATTCACTCAGCACTACACACAAATTTAAAGGTTCCATTTCCTGTAGCAACAAGCACAGTCTTCAGAAAATTACTCGGAAACATCAACTAATAAGACAACATCTTGAACAAATTTAGTATCTCTCATTTGGATTTTTTTTTATCTTTTTTAGATACGCATTTATATACTAAAAATTATGACAAGGAAAAAAAAAATATTTTATAATTCTTGTTCAGAATTCTCCCAGCCATCAACTCCTGATCACATGAATACACAGGGGAAAAAAAAAAAAAAAAAAAAAAAAAGCAGTGACTCAGAAGTGTGAGTATATCTGCACTCTATTTGGGCCTGTCTTGCTCCGAATTTGCTAAACCTCTACCTTTCTTTGGGCCTCCCAAGCTTATTGAAGAGGGAATGCATATAAAAATCCAAAGGCAGAGGGAACTGGGAGAACATCCTACCCCGGGTTCTCTCAGCTTGGGACAGAGTAAAATCAGTCAGCATGAAGGCTTTAAAGCAAGGTTACTTGGGATCGTTCATGGCTGTATTTTCAGTTCCTGTATATGGCTACAGCTGCCCAAGCATTACTCTATCACCAGCAAAATCCCTCCGGCACTGGCAGAAATCCGCACAGGAAACAGGAAAGATGCCCCAAACAATCCTCAACGCTATTTTAATTACGATGCTTTTTGTGCTGATGTTTGGTTAACGGCTCACTTACCTCACGGAGGGCCAACCTATCACTCAGCTCCTCTGCCTTATCAATGTCACCTTCAGCCACAGCCTTCTCTATGCTAAGTTCAAGGCCAGACTAGAAAGAGAAAAGCAAGTATGTTTTAGGACAAATCAAGAAATGACACACTTCAAGGGAGCATCTACTTTTCTAAAAATATTTCTTTCATAAAATTCTTGATTTTAAGACACTGCATAAACCTGTAATTTCTACGTAACACAAATCACTTTGTCTATGTATTGTAATGGACAGTGTAATTAAGAATTCACTGAAAGCTGCCTGAGCACAAATCATTGCATTAGTTCCACCTTATGTGCAGGATAATACTGTAGGTTAAAAAAATTACACGGACTAGTTTATGCCTGTCACAATAAAATTTCATCTGAAGATCTGGCTTATCTCTTCCATCCCTGGAGCTTTCTAAACAAAATGTGCAATATATGTGTCAGGTAACATGAAGAATGGCAATTACCACTGTATCGTTACAGTTCTAAGATCTTATCTTCATCCAAAAACCAAGTTCTGGCATGGTGCCACTCCACTGTGCTAATAAATTAAAAATTCTAGCAGTGCTACAGAAAACAATGAAAAAAGCTTCAGAATTTAACCTCTAAAAACAAGAACGTACCTTTATCATCAATGTAACATAACTCGTTTTACAGCAACATTTACAAACAAAGTAACAATAAAAAATATTTTCTGGAAGTTATACTTAAATTCTGAAGGAATATAGAAGGGTAGCACAGGAGTAGGTAGAGAATTTCGCCAAGGAAAAGCATCACACTTAGCACAAAAGACAATCCGCAGCCTCACTGGTTTAAATGTTAGCGATGCTAAAGCAAACACATTTGACAGTTTCATAATGCACACTTTTTAAAAAAAGATAAAGCAGAAGAGCAAACAATTCTTGAGGAAGAATGATTGCAAATACTGCACTTCAGTTATTCAGGTGGAAGTTGGGGGAAACAAAAAGCATACAATTAGAAGTTGCAGGAAAAGCCAATTCTGTTAGATGTGTTTTCTAAAATTAATGAGACATTTCACTAGTAATAAAGTCTCTCAACTTAAGGGAGGGTATCTGCACTTGAACACTTTGGGCCTCAATCCAGATCAATCCTGAGCAGTTTAATGACAACTAAATATCCACCAAAAGTAAGAACTCATAACTGAACTATGTCTCATGCAGCAATTAATCTTCAGGCAAATGGGAAATACAGAATTTATGATAAAGGAAGCTAACTGAAGATTTCATGTCATAGAACTTATACAGGCCCTTACTAGAACTAGAAAAAGCTACAGAACCAAGTGCTATGAGGAACTCGGAATATAATGAGTTCTTTAACTGGCCCATCACATTGCACCAGTTATTTCAAATACGACTAGTTACACAGTAACATTTATGAGCAGAATGTGTTATAAATCAAGTAATATTGTACAGTAGGTTTGGATTTCTAATTCCTATAGCCACTGGTGACAACTAAAGAGTTTCCTTGACACATTTTGAAGTTAAAACATGGCTAAGGAAAAAAAGAAAAATAAAGTCAAACCATGCACATGAAATCTTCTGTGTCTTATGACAACAGAAAACAAAACCATACAGAAAACAAGCATGGATACTGCCTCAAATGAAAGCACAGGAACCATTCAATGCAAGTAAAATTCATGTGATATCTAAAAGAAAATTCAGAAAATATACACAGAATTATCCTTCCTTCAAGTGACTTGATCACTTACTTCCAAATTGTCTGTTTTATTCCTGTCTCAGTTAAGGCTGAGTTCTTTTACTGCCAAGTACAAGCTGACATTGCTTTTTTTATCAACAGTCACCTTTTGTGGAGGTTTGCTGTCCACAGGTGATTCAAATCTATCATTGATTCCAAAGTACTGTGTAAGCTCTTTCCATTTGTCTTCATTTGCCAACTGTTGACTACTAAAAAAGAAAAAAGTCATTAATAAAACCAGTTCCCTTTCCACAACTTACAATATTCTTTTCAACACTAAAAGAAATTCTTTTTGGCATAAAAGCTCTTTGCACTCATTCACAGTTTTTAACAGAAGTGAAATTAGTTATTCCCACCCCTCTGTAACACCACAATCCTCAAAGCAAGCTCAGATGCAATTCCACGCAAAACATCGTTAAAAATAACATTAAGTCCACTTTAATTCTTTTAAATAATAAATTTGTGGGTTTTTTAAATCAAGCAATAAGTAATCACTGGAATCAAATTCAGCCTGCCCGACAGAGACACAGAACAACTTCAGCACATGTTTTATGTAAAGCTCAAAGCTAGGCTTTGGCCATGCGTGTGGTCAAGCATTTTACAAGTTTTGCCCAATATTAAAAATAGACCTCAGGTAATTACATTGACCTGGTTATACCTCTTAGTCTCTTCATCATTCTTTTTCTGTTTTTCTAGGGGAAAAAAAAAGAAAATAAAATCCAGCATTACCCTACAGCATCCAATAAAGTTCACATAACTCTAACTGGTCACATTTCCTTAGACAGATCAACACACTGGGATTTCTACCCAATGATCATGTGGATTTAAACCACTCAGCTGTAAGACTTTTCATACAAGGAGCCTTCTAAAACAACTGTGAAGTTTTAATTAGAATACACAACAGTATGTTTTACTGAAATACAAATAGCTATTATAAATCAGTATTAACCTCCTTTTAAAGGGGGAACAAATGTATTATTTGAACTTTAAGTAGCAATTTACAACCTAGCCCTTCAACTGGAAAACCAAAATCCTACGTAAAGCTAGAATACATCTACTCAGGCATTCAATTCCCATTAAAAAAAAATACAACAAGAAGTCACCCCACCATCCCCAAAAAAAAACCCAAACCAAAACTAACGACCGAAAAATCCCACCAACAACAACTCCCACTTCCACTTTGAGAAAATAAATTTTCTACTTATATAAAACACCTTTTCTGCGGCGCTTTCTTTTTCGGCTGTTGTTTTCCTGAGTTGCTTGGGTCTTCATTTCACGATTTTTCTTCTGAAGCTCCATAAATTTCTACAAGATTAAGAGTAGGCATATCAGTATTTCTAATTTGATCTTCCTCATTTAAAAAACAAATAAATTACATAATGTGCTTAGAAACCCACTATCTTAGTTAATCCACAATACCTTGTTGTATCTATTACATTAAAACTTATCCAGTGAGCATCCAACCCTGAGAGCAGCAAACTGAAATTAGTTCTTTCATCGCTTCTCCCCGACTTTCTCCCCTCTCTGAATCTCAGAACTATTCAAACCCGAAGGTTTTCTCACAGGACATGACACCCGATGTGCTAATGCCGGTTGTGCACTCCTGAGCTATTGTCATTGCCTTGCTGGGAGTTCACAATCCAGGTATTACTGACAGCACAGTCCTTGGACAGCAGGCTACCGACAGGGACTGACGGATGGAGGAGTGCAACTAGTTTTTGCCAATTCTTATTTTGACTCAAAACCCTATAACACTAACTCCATTATTCCTTTTTCAGTCATGAAACAGAAATATCAAGAGGTTATAAGCAACTACAAATGTGAGTGCCTGCAACAAACCCCCACAGAAAGCCAAACCTCTGCTTTGCAGATATGCATCCCGAGTACAGCAGCTGATACACTTGGCTGTAAATCCTTACTAATGCAGAACGCAGTTACAAAGAAGCTCAGAGTCCATACACTGCTGAAAATACCCATCTTCAAGCAACTGTATCATTTATGAAATGTCTCCCTGCTGCACTTTCAATCACAACAGCACTAGCTGGGGGAGGAAAAAAGTTACATTCACTTCCTAAATTCCTGTTCACCTTACTTGAAACAATCTAAGGTACGTTACCATGGCTGCACACTGATCATATTTTATTTCATTTTAGATTCGTATAGTGAATATTCACCATTCAGTTATTTCAAATTAAAAAAGAGCCAATCGAGTATGGTGCATTTGTGCTCTGGACACCTGAAATGATACCCACATTCCATATATTTAACGGAATTCCAGAAGGGCATGCTTGAGATTCATCTTCTCCACTTGTCACTGATATCACAACGGGTTCGCTGATGGCACTGCTTTCAGGCCCATTCTCTCTTTCAGTATCTTCTTTCGCATCTTCCTTTGAAAAGGGACTGTGGGATCCCTCTCCATCATCCGAGCTTAAGTCTACATCACTTTCAGTCAGTCCTGGAGGTAACAGCCCACTCCACATCTTCCACTTTAAAGCAGTCCAAGCCTCTCCAGGTCACTGCGAAGACACAAGTTACCTGACCTCACTCATTCTGAGGAAAAAAACCACAACGAGCCTAGAGAACAGAGGAACAGAAAGAGCAAAACATATCATCAGGAATATCTTCTTCTGAGAAAACTACCTACCATTAGGTGTTTTCGCCGAGCCCTTTATAAAGCTTCTAACACTCACTGTCTCAGAGAGAAGCCGAGGATATAAACACGCAGGTTTGAGGCTGC